ATTCAGTTATATATTTTTTATTTTATTTTATTTTATTTTATTTTATTTTATTTTATTTTATTTTATTTTAAAGATGTTATTTATTTATTCGACAGAGAGACAGAGAGCATGAGCAGTGGGGAAGGCAAGGGAGAGGGAGAAGCAGGCTTTCCGCTGAGCAGGGAGCCCGACATGGGACTCGATCCCAGGTCCCCAAGATCACGACCTGAGCCAAAGGCAGACACTTAACTGACTGAGCCACCCAGGCACCCCGAGTTATAAATTTAATACAATTTTTCAGTGGTCCCCAAATTAAAGTTGTGAAATAATTGTAATATAATTTTCTTTAAAAAAAAGTCAGGTCATTTTTTTCAAAACATTTGTTAGCATGAACTCGAAGAAAAGGTTAGCACCCAGACGTACTCTTGACTCTAAGAGCAATTTCATTGTTTCAAAACCTTAGCTCTGTTGCTTTTTTATTGATTAGTAGTAGCTGATACATTATTTTGGGAAGCAAGTATAAAGCTAAAAAATGGTGTCTGAAATAGGATGCTCAGCTTCGTAAGTAACAGTAGTGGCATCTGAAAAAATGCACTTGTTACCAGGAAAGAGCAACTTGAAGTGATGGATACGCACCACGTCTCTTCTGAAGTTATTCTAACTGCCTAGAATCGTGTAGGAAATATTTCACAAAGTCACTGGGAGTTCTAACTAATACCTGGGAAGCAGGACTTGTAGGTGAAACCTGAGCAGGCTTTTAAAAAGTCCTTGATGGTACGAACCCATGTAGCATCTTCAGGAGACTCGCATTTCATTTACAATCTAGGTCACATTAAATTTTGTGTAAACTCTCTGGCTCGACTCCATATCCCATACTCCTTTCAAAAGTCATATGAACACAAAAGTAAAGCTAACATAAATAAATAAAATTCATAAAGGACAAGAGCCTCATTGTCTGGCCTGGCAAATTTACCTGAAGCTGTTCTCTCTCCTTTTCTCTCTCTCTCGCTCTCTCTCTCTCTCACACACACACACTTTTTTTTTTTTTTTTTAATCCTTAATTGAAAAATGGAGCCTCCAGAAGCCAAAACATACACGGCAAAGCTAAAGCCGTTTGGGCATTGGCATCTCCGAGAACCTGGCACTCGTGCCTGCCATAGCTAGTTTTCACACTGCGAGGCTGCTTTTGATTTATTGCTGTCATAAAACAGGAATAGGTGTAGTGTTATGATGATTTGCGATTTGTTCCTAACTCAAAGGGCTCGGGTGGCCTCTTAAACTTATTATAACAACTCCCTATTAGGAAAATGGAACTAACTTGACAGGATTCATTCCTTCGGGTCACACAGAAATTGTGGGGGGTTTCCCTCCTGCGTGTGAGGTTTGAGGGAACGGGGAGAGTGAAGAGATGGATGAGGGGAGCCCCTGGCCACTCAGTGATGCCCTTGGCCCAAAACCATCAACTCAGAGTTGGAGGAGTCGAATTTTTAGGCATTCGGATCTCTCCTTTGTGCAATTAAGAATATTTCTAACCAGTCATTTACATTCCCATTTTATTTGCTCATCTTTACATTTTTCTCTCTTCTGTGAGTGTTCCAGTGGGGCAGGTTTCCTGCCAACATGACAACAATATCCATGCCGGCTCATGGCAGCTTGATGGGGCACTGGGGAGAGAACAGAATGACTCGAATGGGCTGCCCACAGCCTCAGCATGAGTAATTGTAAAGGCTCCCCACCACGTGTGTTAATACTTAGAAACACAGGACTGAATGTCAACACTTGGCGTCTCCCGAGAGCACTCAGATCTGAGCATGGAGGCTGAGGGGAACACCACCCCAACCTGGAGTTCAGAAAGGAAGGTATATGTTATCTGTTTTAAATCACTTGTTAAAAATGAGTTTTTCTTGAGCTCTCTTCTTTGGGGAGAAAAAATATATGGAAGAGTCTTTGGCATCTACTGCTTTGCCTTGGCGCTGAGTAGAAGCCAAGAACACTGACACAGGGCACCCATACCAGAATGGCTCACACGCTCATCATTCCTCAAAAACAAAGCATTAGCATATCGAAGGTGGGGAGGGAGTCCTTGTTCTGTTCTTCTTATCCTCAGCAATCCTCAAAACTGGTTGACATTGCAGTTTTCTCACTGACAAAGGGAGCTTAATCTTTGTTTACCTAATAGATCTGTCACAAGGAAAAGTCATGTTAGTCCTTGCTGGGGGCCATGTGCGCACACGCTTGGAGCGTGCTTTAGGGGTGAAGAGGAGCTTTTGCATTATGCAAAGTAGCATGGATGTAGTGGAGTTGGAAAGCCACCCCATGCCCACAGAAGAGCTAAATTAACCCCCATGGTAAAATCTAGCCCCTGATAGAATATTAATTATCATCTGCAGAGGCAGAAACATTATTAAATCCTTTGGTAACGTTGCTGTGAACAAGCAATTGCTGAGGGTCTCACCCCACAGAGTTCTCTGCAAAAGAGAAGTTAAAGTGTGGGAAAGAGATATCTGCAGTGCTTCTACTTTTCTTCCAAAGTCCTTCCAACCATTAATGTGCCAGAAGAAATGGTAGTGCTATTGGGAGGCCATAGCAATGGTCCTGGTTGGTCTGACCCCTCTGTGCACCTTGGTTGTGATTCTACATGATAGGCTGCACAAAGCCCTCTTCACAGGTTTGATCAACTTTTATCAAACTCTCCCTCCAAGATAAAGTGGTTTACCTCTGCTTAGTTTAATGGAATTGTACTGTATCGGGAACTGGGATGATTTTCCCAAATAACACCTCTAGGAAGTAGATGCAATATTTGGACCTAGGTTGTTTGGCTCCAAAGTTCATGTGCTTTAGCTTCAAACTATAGTGGCTTTTTGCAAGATTATTTTTAGTAAACTTTGAAAATCTCAGTAGGAAAGAACTCCATGATTGATTATTAATGATTGCCAAGAGCTTGGAAGTCTGAAGTATAAGCATTCGTGCTGAGCGTCTGCTGATCTCGATAGCATGAATCCTACAGCATTCCTGAGTTACCGAACCTAGAGGGATATTTACATTTTTTAATATAATGCCTAGATACCTTACTCAAGATGCCTAGCAGGGTAGGATAGACTGGGGGCAGATGCAACCATGCCTCTCATTGACAAGACCGATAGCATAAGCTTTTCCCCAACTGAATTCAACAATTTTAATATCTATTCTCCCACTCCTCACTTCCTTGTTTGCTGTCTCCAGAATTTTAGAAGTCTTTGGGAACAATCCTAAGTAATCCCTCTGCAGAAAAATGATGGGATTCTTTAATACAAACAAATGGTGGAATTCGTGCTGGATGTCCCAAATGGTCGGGAAGAATTTGTAGGTGTGAAAATGTCTCTTGGGCAGACCAAACTTGACACCTTGCATTTCCATCTGACTTGAATTTAGATATGGAGAAAGAACATATCTTGTTGTCCATTACCAGATGGTTCAGATATTTTCTTTGGTGGGTAGAGTGATAAGCTTCTCATATGGCCAATAAATAAGAATAGAACTTAATTCATGTTAGAGATATAGCTTAAGTTTAATCGTGGATCAGCTATAATTTTGGAGTAAATATAAATATATATATGGATATATGTATAGAGGAGAAAATTTTAAACACGCAAGTTACAAACACACAAATTATTAACCAGCAGGAACTGGGATTTGATTAGTCATGTAAAAGGTCCATTTTCTCGGAAAACAACTTGAAGGCTAAAGAAAGGACTAGTGTGAACTCAGGGCAGTGGAATTCTATTTTGGTGCCTATCCACCATTTCTTCAATTTGTTTCTTTTTTTCTAGAGTACCTGGTCCAGACCTCTCATAGCACTATGAACATTATAGTTTATGTAAGCTTCTCTGCTATTAGACCCAGAGTTCCTTAAAGGCAGGAGCTCTCTCTAGTTCATCTTGAGGTCCCCAGAGTCTAGCATAATGCCTAGCATATACAAAATATCTTTGTCAACAATTACTGTAAAAATGCTCTAGAACTGCCCACTAAAACTCTGCATCACACCAGTTTAGCCTTTATACTTTAGAGCATGGTTCCAAGGTTAACTGTGGATCAGAAGATCCAGGTTAAGCTCAGCTTAGAGACTCTTTTCAAGCTGTGTGCCCAGTTGGCTTGGCTCCTTGCCGAAGGCTGTGCTCCGGTCTGTTCCTGAGACCCAAGCTGAAAAGACAGGAGCTAATCAGAAAAAAAAAATGTTCCCATGGCAGAGGCAAGAGCAAGGGCCGGGGCAGGGGGGCGCTAACCTAACCACACACACATTTTCAAACGTTTGATTATGTCATGTCTATTAGTATTTTATTGGTCAGAGCAAGTCAGATGATCAAGCTCAACACTAATTGAGTGGGGAATTCCACATCTAGCAGAAGAAACTTTAAAGCCATGTGACGAAAGGCCCGGCCACAAAATAGAGTCAAAAACTAGAAATGCTAATGCAGCCTATCACAATAGGTACTCAAAAGAAGCTTAGAGAATTAATGAGTTCACATTCCTTACCCTGTCTCTTCATACCTTTTTTGAATTCCTAACTAAAGACTACATCAAATGCTCTGGGTTTTTTTTGTTTTGTTTTGTTTTTTTTCAGAATAGTGTTAGTGGTCAGTAAATATTAAACAACTGGAAGTCCAGCAATTACCCCAGTGTGATTGGAATCAGGGGACTTAACAAGACAGGGCTGAAAGCTCTGCAAATATTCTTTCTGGCGGTGTATAGCGTTTCTTTTTCATGATCCAGCCTTGAGCCAAGAAGAAAAAGAAGAAACAAAAATGGAAAAGATTTATAGAAATGCCTTCTGGTATTTGAGCTCATAAACATGTGGGGTCTGTTGTTTTCAGTTCTTTCATTTGAACACAACGGTTTGAACCGGTCAGTTTAACTCACTTACCCCCCTCCCAGGCACAACGAAAGGATTTTTCTTTGCTAGACAGTGGATGCCCATGACATGGGAGCTAGAACTCCCACAGCAAAGGCCCTCCAGGATGTTGCTGCCCTGCTGGGACCCTAACCTTCCTTCCAGAACCACTGAATGACTTCTGCCACGTTTCTATGAGGCTGACACACCTGCTTTGAATATCAATTTGCCTGCGCCTCTGGATTTCCAGGTGGTGATTTTTATTGCGTTCCAAAGCATGAAATTTGAACTTGCGTTTTCCCTGATGTCAGATTAGCAAAAGCACCTTAACAGTGAGCTTTTTAAAATAAAGCAGCTATTTCTGGTGGTTACCTCATATTTTAAGAGCCCATTAGAACTATATAGAGAGTTTGCTAAAAGGCAGGGAGAAGAGTGTTAGACATTTAAAGTTTCAACTGGTCATCTCGCTATTAAAATATTAGGTGTATACTGGCTTACATACTTTTTTATGTGACAAACCACACATCGGAAGATAGAATAATAAGCCTTGGAGGCCAGAGATGGAGTTTCCTTGTCTATTTTTCAAAGCAATGTAGGAACCTTAGCTTTACCTTGAAGGAGGGGTATGGAGAGAAACAGCTCCGGACGGCAGAGGACTGCGCTGGTGGCTACCATGGGAGGTCATTTCGCATTTCAAGTCATGCGGCACAAGGTGATCCTAATAAACTCATAACCTGTTTTAGCAAACACGAGTAATTACAAACAAAACACCACACAAGTTGAGATTTTACATGCTACCTCATTTTACCAAGGCCGAAATTAAAGCAAATAAAATAAAACTCTGCCCCACTTGCCATGCAAATTGGTTGCCTGGGGTATAATTATCTGATTAGTCCTCGAAAACCCTCGCTTGTATGTGCAAATTTGATTTAGAGGCCTCTCCCAACACGACAGCTAACCGCGTTGCATAAACATTGCCTCTGCTGTGCAGAGCCCAGTGCCGAGACAATTTTGCAGATCTGTTATGGTTGTTCTACGCACGAAGAAATGGAACTTGTGGGAATAAGTGGGGCAGCTGTAAGCATACAAATAACCTTTATGGCCCGCTTCTATTCTCCTAGGAAAGCACGCATTTGGGCCAATATTATATTTCTAATCTGTCACAAAATCTTTCCTGCAGGAAATTCAAAGCCTTTCTGGCACTTTCTTGAAGCTTTATTTTAAATCAGTAGGTTTCTAAGATTTTTGTTTCTATCTCTGTCAAGCAATAATACTGATTTTTAAAAATGCTTTCATAGTGTCTTGTCAGCTGAAACGGAAGGTAAAACGTCTGGCCAGGTGATGCCCTAGGGTTTGTTGAGTTCAACCGTTTCATTTTGCAGCTAAGAAAACTGAAGTTCCGAGGGACAAGGGCCTGTTCAGGTAACAGAACACCCAGACCAAGTTCCAGATCAGCTACCACCCTGTCAAATGGTCTGTTCACACCGCGGGCTGCCTCTCACAGGAAAACCATAGTGCAGTTAGGGCTGGGTTTTATTGGTCTGCAAACTGAACCTGAGAAGCGTACAATGGATACGACTGATATTCTGAATGTGGTCCCCTCCCCACCCCGCATTCTTCACGCAAACCATTCCCTTCAAAGAACTTATTTTTGCCCTTTCCTCAAGCATGGGCAAGTAAGGAAATAGGAACATCTTTGCTACATTCTCAGCTGTACTATCTAATAGTACCAGCCACACGTGACAATGTCAATTTAAATAAAATAAAAATTCGGGGCGCCTTGGTGGCTCAGTCAGTTAAGCATCTGACTCTTGATTTTGGCTCAGGTCATGATCTTGGAGTCCTGAGATGGAGCCTCACATCAGGCTCTGCACTCAGGAGGGAGTCGGCTTCTCTCCCTCTCCTTCTGCCCTTCCCCCTGCTCTCTCTCTCTAAAGTAAATAAATACTCTTTAAATAAAATAAAAATCTTAAGAACAGTCTTCAGTTGCCCTAGCCACATTTCCAATGCTCAATAACCATGTGGGCTAGTGGCAACTATACTGAATAGCCCAGGATATAGGACATTTCCACCATTATAGAAATTTCTGTTGGATGGTGATGTTGTCCCGTCAGTATATGAAGTTTGGCACTTTCCGTTCTCTGACTTTGACCATGGCTGGGAACATTTTTCACAGTTATTAGTGTGTTGAAAAACTCCTTCCTGAAGAAGTCCTGTGTCTTCATCTGTTAGGGCTGCTATAATAAATACTATAGACTGGCTGGCTTATGTGTTACAGAAAAGTATTTCTTACAGGTCTGGAGGCTGGGAAGCCCAAGATCAAGATGCAGACAAGTTCTGCCCCTGGTGAGAGACCTCCTTCCAGTTCACAGATGGTCCTTATCTCCCCATGTCCTCACAAGGCAGAGGGGTGAGGGGGTTCTCTAGCGGATCTTTTATGAGGGCATGAATCCCATTGGTGAGGGTTCCACCACCTCCCGAAGGCCCTTCCTCCTAGTGCCATCGCAGTCGGGGTTCATTAGGTTTCAACGTACACTCAGAGGGATACAGACATTCTGTCTAGAGCATCATATCATGACTTTGTGTCACAATCTTAACACCACCCGCGTGTGAGGTTGATTCATGTGTGCAGAAGTTCAGGTTTTCAGGCTTTTCATGTTCATACTAATATTTCTTTCTCAAACAAATAACACACATTTCCATTCAGTCAGATTCCTAAAGAGGAAAAATTAGGTGCTGTACTTTATTGGAAACATACCTTCAGACAATATAATGAAAATTCACTATTTTCATTTTTTACCTTCTAGCAAAAAAAGCAATTTGTCATCTTTGGAGGCAGTATGCATAGTGATTAAGAGGGCAGACTCCAAAGTCCATCCTACTGCCTAGATAGATTCCAAAACCCAGTTCTACAATTTTCTAACTGTGTGACTTTGGGGAATTTAATTAAGTTCCCTGAGGCAAGCCTAGGAAAGCCCTTATAAGGAGGATGCCATTGTAGATGGGCTGAATTTATGAAATAATCCCAAATCAGTTTTCTATTTATCAGAGTGTCCTCTGGTTTTCAACTCCTGCCCCATTTTCCTGTCTCTACTCCAACCATCCAGCTTGCCATGTACAAAGCAGCTGCTCCTCTTTTTTTTTTTTAAGATTTTATTTATTTGTCAGAGAGAGAGAGAGAGCACAAGCAGGGGGAGCAGCAGGCAGAGGGAGAAGCAGGCTCCTGCTGAGCAAGGAGCCCAGTTCTGGACTCGATCCCAGGACCCTGGGATCATGACCTGAGCCAAAGGCAGACGCTTAACCAACCAAGCCACCCAGGTGTCTCAAGAGCTCCTCCTTCTTGCAGATCGGGATCATCTGTGTTATGTGTATATGCAGGACTGCCCTGCTCATTCTGAGACCTCCAGCTTTTTTTTTTTTTTTCCTGGACCACACCTGTTTGCCCTCCTAATGAAGGTGGTCCTTCTGAATGTGCATCTGACAGGATATCCTGAATGGGTATCCTACTTAAGCAGTCCTGCTGTGCATGGCTCAGATGCCTCCCTCCTCCCTGCACTGCTGCTGCAGGCTAGTCCTGACTCTGCAGAGATCAGCCCTCAACGCCTCTCTTTCCCTCTGCTTTCCAAGGCCCTACGGACTAGCCGGAACTTCACCTAAGTAACATGTCACCCTTTGCCTGGCCCCAATAGGGGTGTGGCAAATGTTAACTGAGGCAGCAATGCTCAAAATTGTCTGAGTTCTTAGTCTTTACAGAGTTCTTTATGTAGTAATTTGTGTTGGGCACTCTGGGGAGCAGAAGTCATTTAACACATGGCCCTTCCAAGAAGGAACTTAACAGTTTATTTGAGGAGGTCAAGCATACAGTTGAAACATGTGTTGCAATAGTAAAGATAGGTTTCTGGATTCCATAGCTATTGGGGGAAGGGTTCCAAAACCTGGCCTACACAAATTTCCACCCGCTTGCTAGGAGTATTTCCGTCCAACAGCATTAAAACTTCTTTATGTGTTTATGGCCATGGGAGATTCAGGTCCACCCCAGGAGAAGGTCTGGTTCCCAGGAGATAAGCTGAGTTTATGATTGTGAGGAAGGGAGTGAATATAGCTATGTTTCCTGGCACCAGAGGAAGAAGGGTGAGGAAAAAAGATATTCTTTTAATAATGTCAGTGGGGTCATACAAATTGCCAATGGTGAATGCTCTTAAACTCATAGTGTCAATGGTCATTTATTACAATGTGTAACTCATTAAAACTTGTAACTTATTTAAAAACATAGTTTTTCCTTGTAGGTAATATGTGGGTGGTTAGTGTGGTTATGTTCTTTGGTGGAGAAGGTCACTGAAGGGTTTCACATTTCTGACTCCTGAGACTGACCCCAGAAATCCATCCTAAGGGGCTGGGAGAGGTAGCTCAGGAGCTCCCCAAGGTGACTAAAACATGAGGGATCCCAGTGTCGTCTCGAGAGACAGCCTATTGGTACAACAGTGAGCGCAAAAGGAGGAGATCAAAGAGCACCACAGTGGTTAGGCAAGATTCATCAAAGGATCGGGGCCTTGGAGCATGGCCACTGTACTTTGCAATGAAGGGCATTTAGTATAATATTAAGGCAAAACAGAAGAAAACTGGACAGGAAAAATAAGTTGCATAACTGCCCATGTCACAAGGTCTAGGTTTCCTCATTATCTTAACCAAGTCCACTTCTGTATCGGGTTCCCAGGTCCTGCTCCCTTCCAGACTGCCTGGAAACACTCCCTCCCATCCCCCCCCTCCTCCCTTCCACAGGAGACGCCTTGGTCACACAGTAAGAATGGGAGAGAAGTGAGGGGGAAGGGATGATGTCACCCTGTGTGTGAAGGTTTGTATGATGGCTGAGGGACTTTCTAGAATATATTTTCCATGGCAATTTCCTTAATGGTGAAATAGAGTCAACAAATACCAATCTCACATACGGGCTGCCCTGAGTCAGATAGCCATGGCAACTTCAGTCAGCTGGGGCTGAGTGGTTGATGTTGAACAGGGCTACAATCGGGGTGAAAGAATGAAGCACTCCCCTTGGGTGTATAATTTAGAGGGATGCCAAAAAAGTCAGTAATCGATGTAAGTAATATTTTAATATTTAATACAATATTTAAAACACAAAATTAATGCAAAAATCCACGAGGAACGCTGGAGAAGAGAACCAGCAGAGCAACTTCAGAGAGGCCTGATCCTCGTAGAGGAGTGGTGGCTCACCGTGTCAGGACAGCTGAGGCTGAAAAGCAAAATCTCTGGAAGCAGGGATTAGGCAGCCACTGTTCTGAACTGCATCAACAGAGCAATGCGGGTAGCAATGCAAAGGGAGGGCAGAGCGCAATGGTGGAGAAGAAAGCAGAGCTTCTAACCCCTGTGGGCTTAACCACTACCCTCAGAAAGAGGGGAAAGAAGACAAACCTTCTCTGGGAACCCCAGCTACTTCTCAACTTCATTTTATTCTTGATGCTTCTGCCACAACACAATAATTCTGTAGTCATTTCCATGACTGTCTTGATCATCCTATTAAGTATTTTACGGTATATCATGATACAGTTCCAACTGTTGTCTCATTGATACAAGAGACACAGTATAACAAAATGGTGAAGAAGCTAGATTCTCTTTTTAGGCTGTTGCTTTTGTAGCTGCGTGTTTGGTCAACCAGATAAGCATTTCTTTGTTCTTCAGTTTCCCGACCTGATAGCAGAGAAAAGGATACCGTGTGGTATGGTTGTGAAGGTTAATTTAGCAAATATATAATAAACTGCTTCAAAGGTCTGTAAATGCCGTTCTTCCCAATTGGCTTGGGAGCAACCCATGAAGGGAAGACTGTCTTCTCTTATTTGGTAATAGCCTCCCCTCGCACCTCAAGTAACCAGCGTAGTGGAAGGCGTTGGAGGACTACTGGAAGAGTGGGCATGGACAAAGAGAGAGAGAGATACTGCCAGGAGGCATATATGAGGGTACAGGTGGTGGAAGAGGTGAGAAATCCAAACTAAAGTTTCAAAGAGAAGACAGGGTTTGTTTTTAGAGTGAAAAAAGAGATTTGGTATGAAGATGTCTTATCAATGTGGCATTTGAATTAAGACCGGAAAAAATGGGACAAGGGAGCACGAAGCAGCCCTTCCAGCTCCTACTTACATTGTTCACACAGGGCTTTCATCATCTGGGCCATCAACGGAGTGAATACGGGGGGAAAGCTTTTTGTAAACCCTAAAGCCCAAAACACATATATTACCAACATCGATTGTAACTAGACCGCGACTTATCTGTAATTAGACCAGATAAGCTTTAGTGATTTTCCTGTAGACCTAGGTTGAGATCGGAAGATTTTTCACACACCACCCTGCTTTGAGGTGCTTCATCTTGTGTCCCAGAGTGGCTGCACAGGAGGACTACGTTCTTACCCCCTCTTCTGTTTTCTAGGTTTGGATCTGGGTTTAATGGAAGAAAACAGAGCCATTTCAAGGTGAGATAGTTTGATAGGACCTGACCTGGGGACTCATGCTGGGATGGGTGGGTGCTACCTAGACAGTTGAGGAGTGAGGTCTCTCTTGGAGTGAGCCTCCTGGAACCCAGATTTAGGGGAGGTTCTTAGCTTAGCATCACTAGCTGAAGAAGGAAACAGGGTCTTAAAGAAGTGAGTTCATCTCCAACTTTTTCACAGGATCAAGACCAATGAGGGGTTCATTCCTAAGTATTAGCTATGGTTTGGACATCACTAAATTCCTAATCTAATGAGATAGTTCCTCTTACCCCTTCTTAAGTTTAATTGCATTACACAAGAATAGATTTTAGTTAGGGCTGTCAAAGGATGCTCCAGGCAAGTGGGCAATCCCAAGAAAAAAATCTTACCTCCTTGTGAGATGCATAACGACTGGGTGACTGAGTAGAGGATGGTATGTGGAAGCCTGAACTGTGGGCTTCTTGGCCTTGGTACAAATCAGTATGGGAAAGGTTCCGTCTTAGGTCCCCAGTGTGGAGAATGGAGTGAATACCGCTGGGGAGGGAAAAGGAATAGAAGTACCAATTGCTGCTTTTTTGTTTTTCTTGTTACTCTAGTAGGCTACTGTGATCAGTTTTTGAGTTTGTTTGTTTTTTAAGAGGGAGAAATTACCTTTCTTCTTAAAATTTATCCTTTGGATAAAAGTTCTTTGGAAAAGTTAATATTTTCCTCTCCTCCTCTCCCTAGTCCTTCTGACCTACCTAACCATCACAATCAGCAACACACACCTAGAAGTTAGCCCCTATAGAGATAATTTTTTAAGGAAGAACATTTTCGCCTTGAGAGGAATGAAAAATTATCTATAATTCTGAGCTGAGGCAGAAGTTACTGCACAGTATCAAGTTATAATATTCTTTGGAAAGTAAAAGGCATGCACATGATTTTTGTGCAATATATTCAAATATAAGCAATAATAAGACACGTTTTATAACTGAATTGTGCCACATAAATATTTGGGGATATTAAATGCTTATGTAAATCATTTTGCAACTCTTTCAGCTTGGATTTATTTTCAGGCACACTAAGTGACCTCTGAGATTTCACTAATTTAATTGCTCTTCACATTCTAACAAAAGTAAACAAATTTCAATGGAAAAATGTCACTGCTTCGGGTAATACATCAGTGAAGACACGATTTAGTTTTCTTGAATATTAGGAGTGAATTGAGCTTGGCTAATACATTATAAATCATTAACATAATAATTCATGCTAAAAAATATGGTCCCTACTGTAATTAAATTTGCAGACCAGTGACAGTACATGTGACTGTTAATTTTATGTGTCAATTCGACTGGGCCATGAGATACACAGATATTTAGGCAAACACTGATCTGAGTGTTTGTATGGGGGTGTTTCTGGATGAGGTTAACATATCAGTTGACAGACTGAGTAAAGTAGATCGCCCTCCATAATATGAGTGGTCCTCATCTAATCACTCAAAGACCTGAGTGGAACAAAAGACCGACCCTCCCCCAAATAAAAGGAAATTCTTTTGCAGTGAACTGGGACATTATAGCTCTTCCTGGTTCTGCAGCAACTTCTGTCCTACAGACTCAAACTTGGACATGGGCTCTGCAGATTTTAGACTTCTTAGCCTCCGTCATCTCATAAGCCAATATTTTATAATGAATCTCTTTCTATAATATCCTATTGGTTTTATTTCTCTGGTGAGCTCTGACTAATGCAACACACCATGGTCAACATTTTGCTATTGCTAGGAGTATTGTATCTAGTGCATAAGTGGTGGTGCTCAAGATTTTAGAGATCATATCATATATACAGAATTGTCTTCATGGGGTTTTTATACTTAGCATTATATTGTGTGTGTCTTTCTTTATCATACACTTATCAGAAAACAATTTTAAATACTGTTTAATACTTCATAATATAAATATGCCATTTCTCTATTATTTGACTTGAGATTATTTTTAGTTTTTACTAGCATACATAAAGGTTTGATGAACATCTTTGAAAGCAAAATTTGGCCTCATTTCTGATTATTTTCTTATGGTAGATTCCTGGGAAGGGAATTACTCGGTCTAGTCTAGGTTTTAGTCAGCAGTGCCTAGAAGTATCCGGGTCACCTGAGCAATATACCAGACTCTAGTAACTGAACAGCACTTCTAATAAGGAGGATGATTAGTTAAGATGCAGGTAAGTGGCTTAAACAAAGATATTTACCTGACCCTCCCCACCATCAGAGTCTGCTAGGAATAGAGCCCAGCTATTTGTATTTATAAGACCTCTGCAGGGATTTAATGGTCAACCATGGCTGAGACCCCATTGAGAGCCTCATACCTGTTTTTGAAGTCTAAGCAATATGCATACTTCTCTTATCTTTTCTCCTCAATTACAACCAGCTACAATTATACTCATCAGGGATTCAACTCCAAAATGGATTCAATGTATCATTCACGTTAAGCTTGCTTCTCTGTCACTCCTGACCTCCAACCTTCATTTCAAGATTCACTTTTCTTATAACCACGCTCTTGACACTATTTTGAAGCTCTTGCAGCTGGTCCTATTGATGTTCATCCAATGTCAAGGCAGTGAACAACATTCCACTGTGAACTCCCGTGGGGCAGACTGGGAGATCCCTCGCCAACCTGCTCAGATGTTGGTTCTGTCTATCTTGAGAAAGGCTCTGAATCAAGACTTCCTTCTTTCAGAATTGACTTGCCTTTCTTCCCCTTTCCCATGCCGTAATTTCCTCTTCTGAGGTCATGGAACCATATAAGACCTCCTGTCTTATTCCAGTCCTCCTGTCAAGATTTGTCCTCTAGTCCTCCTGTCAAGATATGCCATACTTAAGAACCTGGATCTTTCTCCTTATCTTTCTTATTTAAAACAACCTAATGGTCAATATCTTTTTGGAGTCTGAATTAGAATCGTGTCTTTTGTTCTTCAACAATAAAATTATCTATGATAATAATAATCTTTCTTTTCAGGACTATTTGCAATTTAAGGAAGTATCATTAGAGAAACAGATCTTAAATTTAAAGAAACAGATTTCCATAGATGATAGTTCACAAACTGTATGGTTGTCTGGTAGGGATTTCGGGGAGATTTTTGATAAGGGTGGCACACAAAATGTCATCAAAGAAATGAAAGTTTTGTGCATTAGTGAATGAGAGTCTGCAATTATGATAATAATAATTCACACCTGTAAGTACCTCTTAACATTTGAAAGGCCGTGTTTTTTATGTGATATGTAATTAAAAATTCAACAACCCACCACACCAATGCAAGGTATTAATAATAGGTGAAGCCAAGAGCCGAGGGAGACAGAGTATATAGGAACTCTATACTCTCTGCTCAATGTTTCTGTAAACCTAAAAGTGCCCTAAGAATAAAGTCTACTCATGAATAAAAAAGTTCAACAACAATATGAGGTAGGACTTTTTCTTCTGCATTTTCCAGTTGAAGAATCAGAGATGTAGAGCAGAGCTAAAGGCAAACCCAGATCTGTGACTCAGAGAGCTCATGACCCCCACCTGTGCGTGTGGAAGAAACCCACGCACACTGATTTACACTTTTCCTTCCCATTCACGTTCAAAGACCTTGGACAAATTTGTCCTTGAGTTTGGAGGGAAAAAACAAACAAACCGAACAACAATAAACAAAAACAATGTTCAGCCAAGAGTCAGCGTGTAAACCTGAAGAGGACTTGTGCGGAGAACCCAAATCTCCTTATGTTTATTCTTTCCCTTCAGTGGCCAGAGCATGACCATGTTTTAGACCCTCTAATCACTCTGAGTTAGCTCTAAACAACCAAAATCAAGTGCCTCCAGCTTTGGCATAGAGATTTCCTTATGCCAAGAATAAAGAAAACCATTCTTCGTAGAACCCAAGGGTGTAATCGGCGAAGATGCCAGCATCTCTGTTGAAAGATCCACCATCTGTGTTTGTGATGGCAGGGGAGGCACAGAAAGCTTCTGAGAGCCTGTGATACTTTTAGCAGGCATCTGGCATTTGAGGCAAGACCATTTACCCAGAAAACTGCCTGCTCTTTCAGCTTGGTAACCGTGAACTCTACCCAGAAGTGATTTTGGCTCCAACTTTTCCTTTCTAAATTTCTCTAAAGACTGAGGGAGAGAGAGAGGAGGGATTTTTTTTTCCTTTTTGATAAATTAAATTAAAATAAACAAGAATATCTACTTATATAGGTTGAAAATCCTTGGATAAGTACAAAGCTCTGATTGTATGGGTAGAAAGCTAGCTGTTTGATCAATGTAAACACACACATACACACACAAAACTTTTCTTACTTTTTAAAATGGGTTGAGACCTCATGGTTCTGAAGCCAGGGCACACAGATTTTAGCTTACCTTCTCTGGTCTGGCACCTTCCTTCTGCTGGCAATAAGTTTGGCTTGTACAGTGAGATTTTGAAGAGAGGTCTGAGTCTGATTAACTGTGCCTTTATGAATAACATCCTCAGAGAATTCCAGGCCGTGTTCAGATTCTTTACTGCAGCAGCCATGGAGCACTGGTGTATGGTTAAGTTGTTCCTTGCAACAGAAGATTCTGACAGATCATAACTCTTCCAACCTGTAGCAGTCATTGCCTTTTTTTTTTTTTTTTTTTTTGCAGGATGATAGTCCTAATATTTTCATTTTACTCACTCTTCAGCTGATTTGTCGTTTTACTGAGAAGCAGCAAATCCATTTGGATATGCAGTTCGCTCCCTTCTGGGAGGTGGCTACCCATAGATCTGGGATGTTCTTGAGGGTGAAGAGATGCCTAATTAGAGAGTTATGACAAATAGAAGAGAAGGGGGATCATCCTTAAGAATTATCTACAGGTGAGGTATTTCCCACCAGTTCAGTTTTAGAGTATTCCCTTGGTGAGAGTTACTGTCTGTGGACTCTTCACATTATGGAGAATCAGCTGTGGTAACTAACATTCCTGGGCCACACCCATGATGAATCCAGCTCCTAGATGGAGGAACTTTCCCAGTTGGTCTGTCTGCCAGTTGGTAAATGCAATTGAGTGGAAAATCAAATGGCAACGAATGTTTTTTTCTCCTCAACAGAGACCACCAAAGGGAAGGAAAAAAAGCCATTAATCTTTCCTGTGTTAATTGAGAACACTGGATGCCATTATGAAACCATTTCCTTTGGAGTCACGCTACTCATTTGAATCCCAGTTCAAGTTTGTTGAAATTGTAATGGTAGTAGGCGTTATCATGTCACAAGGTACCATATTACAACATGAATGCTTTTCATTCTACATGGTTCATAAAGCAAAATAAATTTCGAATAATCGGGTGAGTTATACTTGGTATGTATGTATTTTCAGGAGAAGAAAATGTTCCAATGACAATATACTGCATTGGTAATTCAGGAAGTTTTCTCTTCACTGTGCCATTCAAGATGCAAGATATCCATATTATATTCTGATTTGCTACTTCCTTTCTTCCGAAGAGGCAAAAAGCTCAGTACTATCATATGTCATATGCATGTGTGTTTTGGAGGGGAAAAAGACTTTTGCTGTATTGATTTTTAATCAGCAATTTCTCTAAAAGAATCATTTCTAAAAGAACAGGCATCCTTTTTTTTTTTTTTAAGATTTTATTTATTTATTTGACAGAGAGGAGATAGCGAGAGCAGGAACACAGCAGGGGGAGTGGGAGAGGGAGAAGCAGGCTTCCCACCAAGCAGGGAGCCCAATGTGGGGCTTGATCCCAGGACCCTGGGACCATGACCTGAGCCTAAGGCAGATGCTTAACAACTGAGCAACCCAAGGTCCCCAAAGAACAGCCATCTTTATGGAGTTTACTGTCCAGGAGGAATCCAGAGTAACTAAGCAACTGTCAAGGAGAGGAGTTTATTTGCAGTCCCACTCAATCTTCTTTCCTTAGAAAATTCTCCCCTCCTACCCGAGCTGCCAAAAATAACACACTAACTTTGGCACCAGTACAATGTCTCCAATCAGGATTTTTGGACACTACCTCTTGCTCTGAACCTTTCTTATTGTCTTCCTTCCCCTCCCTCATCGCCCCCCCCCGTCAAACTGTATCATTTATTCCTTCAGAAACAGTGACCAAAAAGAAAGAAACAGGATTTCATTAAGTACCAGATAGCTCATCAGAAGCAATGAATAAAGATCTTCAGACTTCTGTATGAGATCTATTCTGTATGAGCTCAGAATTTTGTATTTAGCCAAACTATCAGTCAAATGGAATGGCATAATGAAAGTTTTTTTTTCAGACAAGCAAGACAAGGACCCCAAAAGTTTAGCTTCCACAGACCATTTCTTAGAAAAGTCCTAGACATATATGCCTATTAAAGCAGTTCTGCACACAATTCCCAATTTCGGTGGTGATGGGGAGGGGCTGGGGAATGGTTTCCCATGCCACCAAACAATTCTGGATACCACCTGAATGTCCTGCAATCCAACTTAATTCTGGCAGTATCTACCAGGAGATGACATCAGATTCCATAGATTAAAGGTCAGTCCTACAATACTGTTCTCTCTCTCCCCCATTTCAGGTGCCTATTTCAAGCCTAGGTTGTTCCATGTACCTCTGGCCAATAGGCTATAAATCAGAGGTTCCCACGACTCCCTCCTTGGGTTTCATTAATTTGCAAGAGCAGCTCAAAGAACTCAAGAAATCCATTTGCTTACTAGATTATCAGTTTATTACAAAAGATATTGAAGGTTAAGAATCAAGAGTCAAATGAATACACACGTAGGATGAAGTCTTAAACAAAGGAACTTCTGTTCTAGTGAAGTTGGGTCCCAGCATGGTGGCACATGGAAGTCTTCTATTTCCCCAACCTGGAAGTTGTCCAAACACCTTCCTTTGGGTTTTTGTGAAGGCTTCCTTACATTGGTGGTTGGTGACTGACTCAACCCTTAACCCCTGTCCCTTCCCTGGAAATCAGGAGGTGAAAGTTCCAATCCTCTATTTATAGTTAGTTCCCTTGTGAACCAGTCCCCATCCTTAGGTGCTTTACAGAAATCTCCTCATTAACATAAACCCAATTGTCATAGAAAGGGGTTTGTTATGAATAACAAGACACACATTTCACTTTTATGGCTCTGAAAGGATTTCAGAAACTGAGGATAAAAGACCAAATATTATAACTCTTATTGCTCAAGAAATTCCAAGCATTTGGGATGACCTGTGTCAGAAATGAGGATGAACGATGTACGAAGACTATATATATATATATATACATATATATATATACACACATATATGTGTGTGTGTGTCTGTAAGTGTGTGTGTATCTTAGTATACTGTATCACACCAGTAAAATGAGGGAGTAAATCAAGAAAAGCAAGATGTGGTTTCTAGGAACCACTGAATTAGAAGCAGGAAAAAAAGTGGCATTTTATCCCAGATTCATTGATCTGTAGCTGCCTTAGAAAATTCAGATTGGAACAGAAGGATAAATCTATCTATGGCTGGGAAAAATTTGAGGTTCTGTTAGTGGCAAAAGTCAGATTATAAAAACAAAGAGAATTCATTCCAAGTTGATTGCAGGATCATTTTTATTTAAGTGTCATAGGGATTATGATATTTAATTATGGTCTATATGAGACATATAGCAAAGAATTGTAAATATAGATCACTATGCTTTCAGAGTTGGATAATTTTTATGTGGGCACCATGTAAAGGTTGTTAATTGGTTTTCAACTTCTAGAATCAACTTATAATCAAAGCACAGAAGACAACCATAACTATAGAATGAAAAAGAAATATTTTTATTTTAGAAGGAGGAGAATAGGAAGCAAGTATTGGAGCACTAGTGTCTTCATTTCGCAAAATGGAAAATCGAGGCACTCTCCATGCTTAATAAATGCAGTGAACTCGTAAACACATGCCTTAAAGTTGCAAGTAACCAGTGGAGGATTTGAGGGCAGTAGGGTTACTGTATCTGGATTAGCTAGTGTGTCAGTCAGGATTCTTTTTTTTTATTTTATTTTTATCTAAATTCAATTAATTAACATATAATTTATTAATGGTTTGAGAGGTAGAGGTCCGTGATTCATCAGTCTTACATAATACCCAGCGCTCATTACATCACGTACCCTCCTTAATATCCATCACTCAGTCACCCCTTCCCTCTACCCCCTCCCCTCTAGCAGCCCTTAGTTTGTTTTCTATGATTAAGAGTCTCTTATGGTTTGTCTCCCTCTCTGATTTTGTCTTATTTTTTCCTCTCTTCCCCTATGATCCTCTGTTTTGTTTATTAAATTCCACATGTGAGTGTGATCATGATAATTGTCTTTCTGTGATTGACTTATTCTGCCTAGCATAATACCCTCCAGTTCCATCCTCATCATTGTAAATGCCAAGATTCCATTTTTTGATGGCTGAGTAGCATTCCATTGAATATATATACCACATCTTCTTTATCCATTTGATGGACATCTGGGCTCCTTCCATAGTTTGGCTATTGTGGACACTGCTGCTATAAACATTGGGCTGCAGGTGCCCCTTCAGATCACTACATTTGTATCTTTGGGGTAAATACCTAGTAGTGCAAATGCTGGGTCGTAAGGTAGCTCTATTTTCAACTTTTTGAAGAACCGCCATCCTGTTTTCCAGTGCACCAGCTTGCACTCACACCAACAGTGCAAAACAGGTTTCCTTTTCTCTACATCCTCCCCAACACCTGTTGTTTCCTGATTTATTAATTTTAGCCATTCTGACTGGTGTGAGGTGGTATCTCATTGAGGTTTTGATTTGTATTTCCCTGATGCCAAGTGATGTTGAGCATGTTTTCATGTGTCTGTTGGCCATTTGGATGTCTTCTTTGGAGAAATGTCTGTTCATGTCTTCTGTCCATTTCTTGATTGGATTGCTTGTTCTTTGGGTGTCAGGATTCTTTTTTTTTTTTTTTTTTAAGATTTTATTTATTTATTTGACAGAGAGAGACACAGCGAGAGAGGGAACACAAGCAGGGGGAGTAGGAGAGGGAGAAGCAGGCTTCCCGCGGAGCAGGGAGCCCGATGTGGGACTCGATCCCAGGACCCTGGGACCATGACCTGAGCCGAAGGCAGTCGCTCAACCAACTGAGCCACCCAGGCGCCCTGGGTGTCAGGATTCTTAATTATGAGCAACAGAAACCACCTCCAGCTGACTCAGGAAGAAAAGGAAAGCCTCTCTTGGAGGATAGGAGAAACTGGGGTTTGGTGGCCAAGAGCACTTAAAAAAATGCACCCAGCGGAAGTGGTCTAGTAGTAGAAGTCCTCTGTTAACCGAGCACAAAGCAGGGCAGTTTATACTCTAAACACAACTGGCTACTTATAGCATTGCTGTCACTGTTCCCCAGGAACTGAATTTTACCCCCAAATGCGCTTCTGGGACTTAATGCCACTATCTGAGGACAACAAAGGTCTGGGCTTTCAGAACGCTGATGTCTTGTGGTTCGTACTGACCCCTAAGTGCCTGGCAGGGGCGGGTGGGGCAGGTGTAGTCATCCCTGCATTCACTGGCTGGTGGGTCTCGGAGATGGAAGAGACTGCCAGTGCTGTGCGTCTGCTTTCCAGTTTGGACCCCAGAGCTGTGGCATTAGCTCACTAGCCTATCACCAGGGAACACTTGGCTCTTCTGTCACCACAGTAGGGTAAGCCACAGCCTGGGAGGGGAAGGTGCAAACTCTCACTGGGGCCGGAATTATGTAACCTCTTTTATCACCACCAGGGTGTGTCTCCTCAAGCTGGCAAGGAAGGCAATAAATAGCTTTCAAGTGTTTCATTTTAAAATCTCAAATAAATACGTTTTTAATTTCTTTCTCTTGGTGAGGCTTTTGAGCTTTATTATTATTTTTTTTTTAGCTTGACAGCATAACATTTTAACCCATCAGCATCAGAAGTCAAGAAAGACACGCAACTGTGAGCAAGTCATTTAAGTTTTCTGGAACTCAAGTTCCCTTACTTGTAAAATAGATTAGCTCTCCTCTCAGCTTCTTTTCATTGAACATTCTATGACTCTGTGACTGAACTTGGCAAATCCAATTTATATTCCTGTGCATTACTTGCATTTTTTTTCTCTCATTATTAGAGAAATTGTTAACAGTTTCAAGTTTTAGACAAAAGTAGAAATGTTATTTTCACCACTATGCTCCTCCCAACCAGGGAAACAATCTTTTGATTGCATCTACCTATCAGTCAGGGAGAAGGATGTAAGGAAAATTTGTTGTGTTTTTAGTAGCTTCAGAATAAGTTTCCACATTATCCACAATAGCCAAAAAGTGAAACAACCTAACAGTCCATTAACTAAATGAATGAATTACATGTGGTATATCTGTATGATACAATATTATTGAGCAATGAAGAGAAATAAAGTACTGATATACGCTATAATATGGATGAATCTTCAAAACATCCCTAAATAAAGTAAATCAGGTATAGCAGATCACATTCTGTATGATTATATTTACATGAAATATCCAGAATTGGCAAATCCATAGAGATAGGAAGTAATTAAGGTTGCCTAGGACTGGGGGTTGAGAGGGTTGTGGTTAATGGGAGTGACTGCTAATGTGTATACGAGGTTTATATATTAAAAACTGTTGAAATATACAATTTAAATGGGTGAATTTATGCTATGTAAATTATATCTCAATAAAGCTATTATTTAAAAACCAAACACATCTCTAGCCCCTCAATAAAGTGTTGGCTACTGGGAGGAAAGGGTTGGTATCTGGGGGTCTCTGTGGTGGGACCTCAGGATTGGCCTCCTAAGGTATGTTGGCATGAGGTTACAGCACATGTGAATTCAAGAAACTTTGACCAAGAGTTGTAAACTTTAAGGCTCAAGTTCATCAGAGAGTGCCAATTCTTACTGAGGAGTTACCTGTAGAGAGAGGTTCTGCTCTGGCCCTATGCAAGAGGTAGTGGGGCAATAGGTCTGTAGCTAGAGAAGTCCTCTGGGTGCAGCCTCTGGGGCTGACTACTGACACAGCTGGGCTTTACCCCATGAGCTGTGTCCTCTCCCACAACGGTGCCTCTGCTATTGTGTTCTTGAGAGGTCATATT